ACTACAGGTCAAGGTGCTAGGCTAGAAGGGGACAAAGATGAATATATAAGAACAAGGGTGACAGAAAAATTTCAACACAGAAGTGCTTTATGCACCACAATAGAAAAGGATGAATCAAGTGGTGCAATGGCTCCATTTTCGCAACAAAAGTGGGAAAGAGCTGAGAAAAGGGTTCCTAGTAGTACATCAACAGGTCCAGATGGCATTCCAATTACTCTGATAAAGACATTAGGTCCGAAGTCTAAGCAGGCTTTGAGAGAGGCAGTGAGCAAAATAATAGATGAAGTTCCCGATGGATGGAAACTTAGCAGGATGAGCATGATCTATAAAGGAAAAGGGGACAAAGCTGACATGAACAACTACCGTCCTATAACAGTGACATCAGTGGTCTACAGGCTGGCGATGCAGATTATAAAGGAAAGACTGCAGGCATGGATAGAGGATGAGGGGGTGCTGGGGGAACTGCAGAATGGGTTTCGGAAACACAGGAGGTTGGAAGACAATCTGTTCTCACTGACGCAGTGCATCGATATAGCAGAAAAGAAACACAGGCCCCTGTGGCTAGCATTTTTGGATATGAAGGGAGCGTACGATACCGTGCTTCAAGAGGACTTGTGGGGAATACTGGACACACTAGGCGTGGAAGATGAAGTCAGTAATCTTTTAAAGGATATCTATAAAGGTAGCAAGGTAGTTATAAAGAGGGGAAAACAGGTATCCAAGCCTGCAGAGGTAAAACGGGGCTTAGGCAGGGGTGTTTTCAGTCACCCTTATTATTCATGATGTACCTACTAGGATTAGAGGCCAAATTAGAGGGAAGTGGACTGGGCCTCAACCTCTCTTTCGTCAAACAAGGAAAACTCATTGAACAGGCACTACCAGCATTGATGTACGCAGATATAGTTCTAATGGCCGACAACAAGGAAGATTTGCAGAGATTGGTGGACATCTGCGGTAATGAGGGAGATAGGTTAGATTTTAGATTCAGTAAGGAAAAATCAGCAGTCATGATTTTTAATGACAATGAAGGTAATGAGCTTAGAATACAGGAGGTCACGCTAGAGATAACAGATAAATACAAATATCTGGGCATATGGATAAGCGATGGGGCCGAGTACCTAAGGGAACACGAAACATACGTGTCGACTAAAGGTAACAGGAATGCAGCGGTAATGAAAAACAGGGCACTGTGGAATTACAATAGGTATGATGTTGTGAGAGGAATATGGAAAGGGGTCATGGTTCCTGGTCTGACGTTCGGCAATGCGGTCTTGTGCATGAGATCAGAAGTTCAAGCAAGATTGGAAATTAAGCAACGTGGAATAGGTAGGCTTGCCTTAGGAGCTCACGGGAATACACCAAATCAGGGAGTACAAGGTTACATGGGATGGACATCATTTGAGGGCAGGGAAGCTAGCAGCAAGATAAAATTTGAGAAGCGATTGAGAGAAATGGGGGAGGAGCATTGGGCTAGGAACGTATTCAGCTACTTGTACATGAAGAATGTCGATACAAAATGGTGGAAGCGAACCAGAAAATTGACTGGTAAATACTTGGAAAACAGCAGGGGGCCAAACCAAAAAGAATTATCGGTTAAGAAGGTGAAGGAAGCTGAGACCGATATGTGGAAAATTGGCATGATTAAGAAGTCCGCACTAGAGATCTATCGAACTTTTAAGCAGGAAATAGCCAAGGAAAGGATCTGTGATAATACTCGGGGCAGTTCTCTACTGTTTGAGGCCAGGACGGGAGTATTGCGAACAAAGACATATAGGGCCAAATACGAAGGTGTAGACACGGTATGCAGTACGTGTGGAGAGGAAGAAGAAATTGCCGAACACTTGATAATGTTCTGTAAAGGGCTTCACCTTGTAGTTCAGGTTGATGGCGCAGAGTTTTTCAAAGCACTGGAGTTTAGGGACAGTGAGGGCAAAATAGACTTTAAGCGAGTAGAATTAACTAGAAGGAGGTTATCTGATTGGTGGCTAAAGTCAAGGCACGAGTGAAAATTAAACCCTTCACTGCAAAGTACGAATCCTCAACCTCACTATTTAAAGGAAAAAAATATAAATCTAGTTTTTGGTTCATTGAGTATTACGGCTTGGTGGCGCTAGCCACTGCCCGATCTAAAGGGTACATCCACATCCATCCATCCATCCATCCATCCATCCGGGTTACATGCGCGCCGAGGGAGCTGGCTCTCTCCTCCGTGGTCGGCGCTGGGTAAGCACGTGTTTTCCTTCGTCCCCGTCCCCTTTGGGAATCGCCGGACTGTAGCCTGCCTGGGGTGGCCTGTGGCACCTCGGCAGGCGTGTTTACTTGAGTGCTAGCTTCGGTGCTGTACGCTAAGCCCAGAGCGGTGCCTAGTGCTTGAAGTGGTCGTACCACATCGAGCCGCACTTGCCGTAGGCCTACGCGTACGAGGTTTGCCCCAACACTCGCGACCAGGCCCATTGGCCATCGTGAGAGTGCGCATCATAGCCGCGAGGGACCTTTTTCCGACCGGCGGGCCAAAGCTTGCCATTGCCAGCTGCGACGTGCTCGCGGTTTTCCCCTTATTGTGAACGTCCGCTTGCGGGTGCCTTTGCTACCCGCGTCCCGGGAGCGGACGTCGTACTGTTGTTCGGGGTGCCGCCAGAGGCAATAAAAAGTTGTGTACTTTGTATTAGAACACTGTCTGTTTGCTGCGCCGCGTAAACGCCTTATTAGTTGAGCGCGCGCGGAGCGGTGCGCTACACGCGAGTAAGTGACGGAGTCGCGGCCCTGTGGCTCGCTAAGCGTGAACCCGCGGTGATCATCCGCTACGGTGAGTAGCGGGGTCATCATATACTGGCGCCCAACGCGGTATAAAAGGCTCATTAAGCCTTTGATTAGCTTAGCCGAGTCAGCCCGCCTTTGCGAATCAGGCTCACCGGGTTCACCCGCGTTATGTCTGCCCTGCGTGAGTTCTGTCCGCTTACGCTTTTAGCAGATACCGCATTGCTCGAGAACAGGGCCAGTGCCCCCCTTGAGCATCACAATCGCGCACCCTCACTTGTCAGATGCCCCAGTCGGGATGACACGAGACGCTATGTAACAGCTCCCACCGGAGAGGTAGCTGTTACAGCAGCTCCCACTGTTTTGGGTCCGGGGCCATAGCCCAACCCGAACAGTGCACGCGGGCGAATTGGATTGTTACTGCTCCCTTTGGAATGCATGGCAATTCCATGTCACAGCGCTACGAAACGGCTCTCAGTGGAACTTCCCGAGCGCAGATCGGCACCGCGGCCTCAGCCGTTGCCGAATTTCGCCCGCTGGCTGCTAGGCAACCTAGCAGCCAAGCTCATTTCGAGCACGCGCCAGTACCACTAGCAGTAAGCGGCCTAGCAATTTCACGTGAAGCTGCCCCAAGAGTCGGCTGTGAACAATAGGCGCTTCCTAATGTCGCGGCGGCTGGTATCCATTTTGAAACCGCGCCGCTTATCGAGCTCGGAGACAGTTCCCCATCGCTCGCCCGCGCCGCTAATGCACCGACAGCTTCCTTTGAAGCGGGCGCACAGACGCTGCTGCAAAATGCGCCCAAATGACTCGGGCACTCACGGGGGCAGTCCAAACGCTTTTGGCCGTTCCGAAACGCCCTCATCCCGCTGTCATGTGGGCCATTCCGACCTACAGTGGTTATGGTGATCCCCTTATTGTGAACGTCCGCGTGCGGGTGCCTTTGCTACCAGCGTCCCGGGAGCGGACGTTGTACTGTTGTTCGGGGTGCCGCCAGAGGCAATAAAAAGTTGTGTACTTTGTATTAGAACACTGTCTGTTTGCCGCGCCGCGCTAAACGCCTTATTAGTTGAGCGCGTGCGGAGCGGTGTGCTACACGTGAGTAAGTGACGGAGTCGCGGCCCTGTGGCTCGCTAAGCGTGAACCCGCGGTGATCATCCGCCACGGTGAGTAGCGGGGTCACCATAACGGTCATGCAGATATTGTTCGTTTTAAGTGAAAGTTCGTTTTAAGTGGAGCCATTGTATCTGGGTTCGACTCTAGTTGGTCCGTGTGTGGCTGCAAATGCACTGCTTGGTTCGTTTAGAAAAATGTACCATTAACCATAAAAATGTTTCTCCCATTCACCTCTTTTATGTGTTTTTCTAAGCACATTAGTGATGCAAGCGAGCAAAACCAAGATCAGCGGCAACACATTGCAGACGCCCCGCCTCTGTAGCCTTTGCTCCACCGGAAAGATAAGTTGGCGCCAACTATACCAGTAAAGCTAGTTTTTGCTCTCCGAAGCAGTGCTGGCTGTTTTAACTTATCCTTATCCATACTTATTCATAAACGCGGCACCTTAAGCTGATAGCACTTCCTGTGCACTCATGCAGTGCCTTATGTTGGGCTGGGGCGCAACATATGGCACTACATGCCACTAGTGCACACTGTCGTCGAGACTGACAACGAAGCACAATGTAATCCTGTCATTGAGTGTGTGCATACAGTCGACACGGTGAGGAAAGGCAGGTGTAATTTACTGTAAAGGCCACCATAAACACTGTCAAACTTGAGAAAAAACGTGCGTGAGCTAGTCCAGGCTTGCTCTCGCAAAGGTCCTCTTGCTGCCCAGATGCTATATGTTCTGCAAAAGTAAAACTAAAGATTGTCGTAATGTTTCAAGAATTGTTGTAAAAGTGATGCATACATGTTACTACTGGTGAACTAGCACTAGAATGTCAGCAGTATGTATGCGTTTTTCATTGTCTGATTTTCTGTCATGATGTGCAGAGTTAGTTACTTCAACTGCTAAATATGACTTTTTTGGTGTGCCTGTTGCAGAGTCGCACACTAGGGCTTGGTGGCTTACGTTTGCCTAGCTTGAAAGCGAAACTGGTGGTGCTTGATATATCTTCTGCCTTGGTGCCAGTGCAACTCAGCTATGTTTCTTACCGAACTTGACCATCACCCTCCAGTCTGTTTCAAACTGTGTCTAAAGTTATTCATGCTTGCATAGCTATTTTATTCTCTTTGCTTTCCAGCCAATTTGAAACACAATGAGCTGGTACAGAGCTTGAGCTGGCGAGGTGATGGCAACCAACTTGTGAGCTCAGGGAGAGACAAGAAGCTGAGAGTGTGGGACCCCAGGGCGCCAAGCGAGTCACTTGTAAGTACTTTACTCGGATATCACATGCTCTTAAGTGTTCTTTAGAAAGCCTTTTCTCACAAAGTGTAGTTGCTTTGTGGCCGTATGGCCGTGTGCTCTATGCAGCTTGCTGCTACTTTTTTATGCATGCACTCCACAAAGTGGTTGGCATTGTGTGTTCTACCCTCAAGCAGAGCCAGGAAATTGTGATGATGCAATGCACAGGGTGTAGAGAAGTCGTAAAATTCATCATTGGACTCGATGGGTAGTTGGACTCAATGGAAACGTCCCGAGAGACCCCGTGCGCAGCGCCACAGTTGACATCCGCTGCCGGTTGAGAGGGGTTAGGCATCACTCCTCTCTCTCCCAGCGCGACAGACAGTGGAGGAGGGGAGTCATGTCAGGACATGAGAACAGCAGGAAAAGTGGTATAGCCCGCGCAGAGGCCGCGGGCTAGCCTCAATTTTCACAAGATAAGTATCAATATATTGTACACACGCATACAAGCGTAGTTCAATAAACAAACCAGATATTCAGTCGTGCACGTGTGCGTGCGTGTGTGTGTTTATATGTTTAGATGTTAGCAGAACATGCGAATGTTCAATAGAAACCTTATTCTCTCGCTCGAGTGTATCTTAGCACACGTATGAAGAGTCCTATTGTAATATGCTTGAACGTCGCCTATCAGACCTTGGAACTGTCTGGCTTTTACCATTAAAACGAATCTCTGCCTAGTGAAAAATATCGCAGTGATTGACTTCAACGCGATCTGTTCCGGCGGGCACACGTGTGAACACTGCTGCAGCATTAATCCCATTGCAAAGCTAACTTACAATGCTCTTGGCGAGATTCCTATTAAAATTATCACAGAGTGCCAAAGCCTTGACACACACCAGGATATGTTTTCTTGTGTGCAGACATTATTCACTGTAAAAGTGCCAAGGAATAATATTGTGATGGGTGAACCGTTTAGTTTCTAAAGTATTTCAGCGCGAAGCAACTGGAAAAAAAGGTGGGTAAGTGATGGGGGGATATGAGTGAAAAATTCCGAAGGTGGGGGGGCGGGGCTTGGCTACGCCACTGATTTTGGAGCAACCCATAGATCTACATACCACCAACTATAAAGCATGCCTATAAATAACGTTTGAATTTCTGGTCGTGTGCTCAGGAAAAAAAATTATTTTATTGCAGGTTTTATAAATTTATATTTCAAGCGTCATGCTGATGTTTAAAACCAGCAAAGAGCATCCATATAGCTGCTGTCACAATAAAAGTATCCGATTTACACCTGAGACGCCAAACGCTGCCTATACAGTGCTGTCCGGTTCGCATCAAAAAATGTTTGTCATAAGAATACTCTAGCCACCAGAATGTTCAAGTTTTGTTTCATACCAGCATTACTCATCACATTAGCAACATGTGAGCGACACAGAGGTGCTTCATTTTGATTACTTTTGATGAGTGTAGGGGGGTAGAATTTTTGTCTTCTGAATTATTGTACTGGTGCTCAAATACTTTGATACAAAAATAGTCATACTGGTATGACTAAAGTTCATGTTCCAGGTATTTTCTATCATGATATAAAATTTCCAGACATTGCTCACGTGATAGACCAGTATGTTATTAGCATTTTTGTACCTTAACATAGTGGTCTTTTGGGACTGTTTCAAACATTCAGTTCTGCTTCATGTTAGAGTGGAACTCCCACCATAAAAATCCTGAATAAATTTTGTTCTAGTCAGGATTCAGTAAGAATTTCATGAAGCTAATTGGTGTGGCATCATTCTTCTGCTGCGCTAAAATGACACATAATTACAAAATGAGAAGTCAGATGTTCACAAATTTGCAACTGTTTATTTGCTAACAACGCACATTGTATTGTCACGTGGTAGTGATGCTGATGAAGCCAGCAGTCGACGTATGCGAGATGAAACTTTGTTTAGCTGAACTTGTGGCGACAAAATAGAAACTGATGACTGGAAGCAGTGCACTGATATTGTACACTGATATTGACAAATAAAATGTTGGTCATAGATAAACTGATAATCAGTGGAGTATGTTTGTACTATCAAATATTTTACTGCTAGCAGCCATGCAAGTTTGATCGAACTTGTGGCGACAAAATAGAAACTGATGACTGGAAGCAGTGCACTGATATTGTACACTGATATTGACAAATAAAATGTTGGTCATAGATAAACTGATAATCAGTGGAGTATGTTTGTACTATCAAATATTTTACTGCTAGCAGCCATGCAAGTTTGATCGAAGGGTTGCAAGATCATTTAGATGGTTCCTAGTCATTCGGCATGGTCTGTGCAAGGGGGTAGTTACACATGTGATGGGGTCGTTACATGAATAGAAATGAAAAGGATGGCATGTGGCAGTACACAGGCGCACACACACACTCTCTCTCTCTCTCTCTCAAAAGGGTGAAAAAATGAGAGAGAAAGAGGGTGAACCCCCCTGGTGGGCATTGTGTTTAGCTCAGTCCTTTTAGAACTATGTATCTTATTCTTGACCTTTCAGTGTATACTGATGGGTTTTCTTGTTTATTTTAGCATATTACTCATAGGGCTGTGAGAAAGAGGGTGAACCCCCTGGTGGGCATTGTGTTTAGCTCAGTCCTTTTAGAACCATGTATTTTATTCTTGACCTTTCAGTGTATACTTATGGGTTTTCTTGTTTATTTTAGCATTATTACTCATAGGGCTGTGTGTTGTTTACTTTGAAGGTATACCTTGTACTCTTCTTCACTGCAATAGCAATTATATGTGCTGATTTTAAGGTCACATATCAACCTTCCTCATTTGTGCTTTGCATATCATTGATTCCCACTGAACCTGGGATCTGCCAATTTTTTGTTATTTGAGTATACAGCTTTTCAGTGCGATCACCCATGTTTGCGGGGACATGTCGCGGTCACTTGCAGCGGCCCCAGTAACGACCGAGCGCCGCATGCTCAAATCAGCCAATGGCCGGTACAATGGCTTTGGCAAGTGATTTTGGACATTGTGGCGTCATTTACCGATAGAAGAGAGAAATTTTTATGTGACTTTGAGGATTTATTGTGAATTCCAGGTCACTTGCTGTGCGAACTTAGGGGGTTTTTAATGGGCACTGAGACCGCTATCACTGTAGAAGCAACGCCGTATTCCTTCTTTACCTGCGCTTCCATTGTTTTTTCTCGTAGCGACACTTCGTATCATTTCTCCTCTCTCAGACGAAGAAGCCCTCTGGGCAAGTCATTCTTGTATCCGTCATGTAAACGGATTCAGGTGGGTAATATGCTTCACCTCTGTCTTCCATGAATGTCGGCCACTAGTGGTAACTTGTGCAATTTCATAAGGACCTCACTGAGGGGATTGACCATGGCGAACGGACCGGCGTAGTGGGCGAGTAGCTTTTGGCTCAAGCCACGCCTGCATATTGTGGTCCACATCTACACTTGCTCACCGGGGGCGTATGTTACGTGCCGGTGTTTATTGTCGTAGCGAGTTTTGGGGGACTCTTGCGCTGCCAGTGTTTGTAAGCATGCAAGTCGACATGCCTCTTTTGCACAACAAGAAGTTTCCTCTATTGTTAAACCGTCATAGACGACAAAAGGAAAGATGGTGTCCAGCGTATTTCGAGGTGAGCAAGTGTAGAGCAGATAAAAACGGCTGTAGCCCGTTTCTTATTTCGCCGTGTTGAAGGCATACGTGACGAACGGTAATACTTTATCCCTGTTCTTGTGGTCGGAGGCGACGTACATCGACAATGTGTTGGTGAACGTTCGGTTTGTGTGCTCGGTCAGGTCGTTAGTTTGTGGATAATACGCAGTTGAGTGTCAGAACTTGGAGGCACACAAACGAAGTAATGATTCTACAACATCAACGGTAAATTGGCGACCACGGCCACCTAGTATCACGCGAGGTGGCCCATGTCGAAGATGACTGAATGCAACAGGAACTCCGAAGCTTGGGCTGCGGTGGTGGAGGACAAGGCAGCCGTCTCACAGTACCGCGTCAGGTAGTCAGCGTATACAATTATCCACTGATTACCTTTTGAAGAGCGTGGAAATGGTCCCATGAGATCAATGCTGACCTTTTCAAAAGGGGAATGGAGGGGGGGGGGGGGGGCTTTATGGAATGCAGGTGACCGACTGGACCTGAGGTGGGCCGCTTGTGGCTCTGACAATGCGTACAGCTGGCCACGTAGTTTTGAATTGTCTTGATCATATTAGGCCAGTAGAATCGCTCTTTTGTGCGACTAAGTGCTCGTGCGGTTTCTAGATGGCCCGAGGTCGCATCGTCATGCATGAGACGCAGAACAGACATTTGAAAGGACGCAGGAACAACCTGCAGAAAACGGGTGCCTGTCGTGAACAAGTTCCTCTGGTAAAAAAGACCATTTTGGACACAGAATCTGCCTTCGTTTATTGGCTTTTTTGCTCCAGCGAAGAGAGCTTTCAAGCTTGGGTCATTACGCTGCTCAGCAGCAAAAGTCACTGCATCGGGAAAGCCATGCGACAGAGAAGGGATAAAGTGGTCAAAGTTATCGGCTTCACAATCTGTCATCCGTAGCGACATCCTGGAGAGGCAATCCGCACCAGTGTGTAGATGGCGTCTTGTATGAAATCATGAGGACGTACTCTTGCAAACGAGTGGCCCATTAACTCCAAAAGAGTTAGCTGCCAGCCTCGCATCCTATAACATTATAACCTGCTACTATCGAATTATTTGCTTTGCCCTTCTGGTGAAACTGTGCCTTTTGGCTCTTAAATTTTTTTTTTCCTATTGTAGCTATAGCTGAAGTTATTAACCATTGGTCTGTTGAGACTGCACCTCAATGTGTTTGCTCTGTGTAGCAGCTATGTTTTGAAACAGACTTTATTTAATGAGCTGTGTCGTTCCTTGCCTTCTCAGCATGCACCTGGCCATGCAAATAACCGAGACTCCCGGGTACTCTGGTTGGGAAACACCGACTACATTCTTTCAACTGGTTTGGGCAGTGTGAGTGCTTCACTTTTTTTTCTACTTATTGATGATGAGTGCTGCCACTGGCGGTGAGAGCAGTGCTGCAAGATCAAGGACAGAAAAAAAACTGGGCTATACAGACATAGTGCATCTAACGACTCAGAGTTGTTAGATATGCTTTGTCTGTGTAGCTCAGTTTTTTCTGTGCTCAACTTTGCAGTACAGCCTTTACTACAGTATGTCCGAACTAGCCCCTACACAAGCTTTTCTGCCACTGGCCTATGATGGTGAATTATTCAAAATGCACGACCTTTTGTATTGGCTCAAGTGTATTGCAACACCTTTGTATTGCAACATCTGTACAGGGGGACAAAACACACTAGAGAATAAATTTGAAATGTTGCCATTACTTCAGCATTTCATGAAAACAAGGTACAGCCACCAAGATGTATGCCTTGATTTTTTTTAAGTTAACCTTAAATTCCTTTGAATTTTTTAATTATTTTGTTTAGGAGGCACTTATCTTACTTCCGTGATTTGTATTGAACTGTGACCAGTCATAATTGCTCACAGTGCAGCAAATGTGGTGAATCAGAGCCATTAGCAAGCAAAGGCCTTTTAAACAATGCTAATAGTGATGATGCAAATTTTTTTGAAGATAATGAGTGTGTTAATAATGATCAACATTTATTATTATTATTATTATTATTATTATTATTATTGTTTTTATACATGGAAAACACAGAGGACAGAGGAAATGGGGAGGGATTGTGAAAACTCATTGAAGCATAGCATTCCACAAGCAAAGGTGCTTTAATAGTTTAATTCCGCAAAGCATTGTGTTGGGTGAGCTGGTTTCTAGTTTCCATGTTTATAGCACAAGACAACCCCACAAAAAGGAAGGCAGACAAAATTCACGGAATGTCTTGGGTGCCTTCTCTGCTGCGTGTGTCATCTCGTATTGTAAAAATGAAAGCCTTAATGGTGATTATGAAAGTGTCTAACATGAAAATTGACTAGAGCTGAGCAAGTAACAAGGTGAATTCAAGTATTAAAGTCTGAGGGCAAATTAAATTGAATATATTTTTGAAGGCCTCGAAAGGAAATTAGAGAGAAAAAAGAGCAGCTGATTCACAGGTTTATTATTATGAGACAGCAGCATGAATGCATTTCTTTTGGCTACTTTAATGAAGTGCTGGAGGGATGCGGTTTCCTAATCATAAAAATATAAAACAGTGCTTGGACACGGATCTACACACTGTCACTGGTGTCCTTTGTCCTTCCTTCATCTTGTGTCTAAACGCTGTTTTATATTTTTATCATGGTGTCACGGATCTCGGAGGCGAGTGTTAGTGGATATAAATCCTGAGATTATAAACTCTCAGCTCCTAAACTCTCACGCGCTACCTTACACGTTTATTCTAACCTTTCTCTCAACTCCAGAACATATGCATACCTGCCAAGTCTACTGGATTGGTCGGGAGACTCCCAGATTTCAACCGTTTCTTCAGTTTGTACGGTTGTCATGAAAATCTCCCGGAAATTGAAATTTATATTTATACAAGTACCTCACGGGTTCCACGAGGGAACATTGCGTGAGGGGGGGGTACATTTTGATTTTCAAAGAGCGATGAAAATATATACATATGCAAAAGTCTGGCTGCGTAAAAATAGAAAAGAACGAAAGAAGCAGCAAACAATAACATTATATAATTCGGAACGATAATACGCAAGTATACAATACAAAATTGTGAAATATTTTTCTATAAAAGCCAAAAAGCACTTGGCTGCGCAAAAAAGATACAGATGAGAGAAATAGCAAACAATAACGTTATACAATTCCAAACGATACAACATAACTATATAATACAAGAAGCGTTACAGTGTTAGAGGCGACCGCGTTAAGAATCAGAAACTAGCAGGAGTACAATAGGTAAGGCGCACACAACTAGAGTTCAAGAGGCAGTTTTTCAAGCAAGCCTCTAAAGATCTCGGTTTCTTTCACGTTTGCTATATTTTCAGGAAGATTGTTCCAGAGTACAATGGCACGTGGTAATGAAGATGAATTATAGGCGTTAGTGTGCCCGTATAGACGCTGAAAACTGAGGTTATGCTGCAAACGACGGGAATATCGATGAGGTTTGAGAAGTGGCAAGAAAAAACTGTGCTTGCTGTTGATGATTCTGTGCAACAGACATAAAAGAGAAATGTTTCTGCGGGAGGCGAGAGAGGAAAGAGAGAGCGACTGCTTGATTTTAGTTACACTAGAATGCCTGCTGTAGTTACCGGTGATAAAGCGAGCAGCGCGGTTTTGAACCGATTCCAGGCTTCGGGATAGATAATCTTGGTCAGGTGACCATATAGAAGAAGCGTATTCGAGTTTAGGGCGCACGAGTGTTTGGTAAGCGAGCTTGCGTGTGGTAGGAGGTGCATCACGAAGGTTGCGTTTTAGGTAACCAAGCGTTTGTGACGCGTCAGCAGTAATCTTGTTGATATGACTAGCCCAAGAAAGGTTCGATGCCAGATGGATGCCTAGATACTTATAAGATGAAGTAGGTCTTAGAGGGCTACCATCAAGGAAATACTGAAATGTTGAGAGTGAGCGCTTTCGAGTGAAGGTCATTTGATTGCACTTATCAACGTTTAATGACATTTGCCAATCTGAGCACCATGTGGTTACACGATCAAGGTCTTGCTGCAGAGCTGTATGATCTGATGGTGAAGTGATTTTGCGATAGATTATGCAGTCGTCCGCGAAGAGGCGAATTGATGACGTGATTTCTGAGGGAAGATCATTGATAAAAATTAAAAATAACAAAGGGCCAATAACGCTCCCCTGAGGGACACCAGATGTCACCTCCGAGAGAGGGGAAGACATGTTATCAATTACAGTACACTGTTTGCGAAAACACAGGAAGTTCCTAATCCAAGAGACTGTAAGTGAATCTAAGTTCAGAGATGATACTTTAGCTATTAAACGACAATGTGCAACGCGGTCAAATGCCTTAGAAAAGTCGATGAATATGCTGTCTGTTGGTAAATTTTCATCCATATTGTTAAAGATCTCATGCGTGAATTCGATAAGCTGTGTATCACAGGAAAGTCCTTTGCGGAAGCCGTGCTGATTTTTAAAAAAGTATTGGTTTTGTTCTAAGTGTGATGCAACATGTGAAGAAATAATGTGCTCAAGTAGCTTACATGGGATGCTCGTTAAGGATATGGGACGATAATTACTGGGCAGGCATTTGTCCCCGGATTTGAAGACCGGAATGACCTTAGCGATTTTCCAGTCATATGGAATCTCGCCAGTTTGTAACGATTGCTGAAAGATGTGACCGAGAATGGTACTAGACGGAACAACGGTATGCTTTAAGATTTTAGAGTTTATGCCGTCGACACCTGAACATGTGGACGTCTTGAGATTTGTAATTAGGGAAGAGATACCTGCAGGATTAATCTCTATAGGATCCATAAAACGATACTGAAATGTAGGTGGCAGAGGCATGTTAGTGTAATTTTCTTTCGTAAAAACTGAAGTGAAGTAATTATTAAACACCACTGGGCAAGATTCAGGAGAGACCGTAACACCGGCACTGTTCAAAATCGTGATACGAGTGTTAGAGCGTGTGGGGGCGATTGATTTCCAGAATTTCTTAGGGTCGTTTTTTAAAAGTGACTGTAGGTCATGTGAAAAGAACTTGTGTTTCGCCTGACGCACAGCATGACAATAAACCTTATCAGAATCACGATGCTTCGCCCATGCTACCGAAGATTGCAATAACTTTGCCTTACTGAAAAGACGCTTCTTTTTATTTCGAAGGGTGCGAAGTGTACGGGTAAACCATGGTTTAGATGTATTTACGCGAATTGTCAAGCGAGGGATATGTTCATGCACCAGGCTCAACAATTTTTCTTTATAAAGGCACCAATTTTCGTTGACTGAGCGGTTGAAGAAAGAGGCCATAAATGAGTGAGAGAAGTCAACTAAACTCTGATTTATGGATTGATAATCACCTCTTTTATAATCAAGTATTGGCCTTGGAGAGACATAAGGCTTGGATGCAGGTAAGCTAATAGATACCTGAATGAGACGGTGGTCACTGAGACCATCTAGATATAAGGTTGATGTAGCTTTTTCAGGAGCTGACGATAGAAGCAGGTCAAGAATGTTGTGTTGGCGCGTGGGTTGGTCAATTAATTGAACAAAAGAGAAGTCAAGGGTTAGATCGAGGAACTCTCTGGAATTGCGTGAGAGGGAAGTTAGATTGGACCAGTCAATTTCAGGGTAGTTGAAATCGCCCAAGAGGAAAACGTCAGCTTTAGGAAACTTAGAGCGCAAATTTGTCAAGTTGTCGTGCAAATCTGTAACAAAACTTTCCGAGCAATCTGGCGGCCTGTAACATACTCCGAAAATTGTTTTGGATGCATGTGATGAGGAGCACACCCAAACAATTTCCAACCGTGACGGAATGTCAATCACAAAAGATGTGATATGACTTTTTATGGCAATAAGTACCCCCCCACCAGCTCTACCTATCCTATCTTTTCTGAAAATATGGAAATCAGATGAGTCAAGCAAAACTTCACTATCTGAGATATTAGGGTTTAGCCAAGTTTCCGTAAGCAGCAAGATATCGCAGTTGCTGTTTTCAAGATAAGAGCACAACTCAGTACGCTTTGAAATAATACTGCGTATGTTGGTGTATGATAAAGTGAAGTTCTTGTACGGAATGGGATCAGCATGTGGCAGGAAATTGTTTGCAAGTGTGTGCGTAGCCGACCTACGCGCGAGCTATTGCGATGCAGGTGTTATTTTGTCATTGATTGCGTCGTACACGTAAGTAACGTTATCGATTCGCAGTTTATCGACTGAAAGCTTGAAAGGCACGTTTTTAGCTTTTCCAAATTCTAACAACTTTTTCCTAGCAAACCGTGTTTGCGGAGCAAAATCCTCACGGATGGCAAAGAGCGTGCCCTTCAGTTTGTGGCCCATTTCCATGATGCTATGCTTGTCTTTAAAGAAAGCGAACTTTGTG